GGGCCCAGTCAAGAGGCTGGAGAAGGTACCTGACCTTCTCCAGGTGGGGATGTGAAAGGTCAAGACCACTCATCCCTCGATGACTGGTCCCACGAGTCCACAGGGGAAGTGGGGAACCCCAGAAACCCAGGCCCCCACCCCTGTGGTCAGACCTGGGGCTCCAGAAACTGGGTAATGTGGTTTCCAGGCCTGCAGAGGTGCCAGGGCTGACAGATTTTGAGTCTGAAGGGAATGATGGGCAATGGAGCCAAGCTCCAGGGCAGCAGAGGATTGTGGGTAACAGAGCCAGACTGCAACAGTACAGAGGATCATGGGTAATAATGTCAGAACCTGGGCAACCAGGAGGATTATGGGCAATGGATCCAGACTCCAGGCAGAGCCAGTGTGCACGTCCACGGGCCAGCAGGGCAGGGGACTGTGGGTGACACAGCCAGGCTCGGGTCCCAGGGGATTCTGGGTGATGTACCAGCCTCCAGCTCTGAGCCCAGAGGCACTCAGTCAGCAGGCCCTCCTGGCCCCAGGATGACCCGGGAGTGGGCTGGGAGACCCTCCCCCAGGCACGCATCCACCAGTCCTCCATCCATCTGGTCACTTAAGGAGCCAAGTGAGCCCCGTCCCCACTTAGAAGGAGAGACCAAGATCCTGACAGAGACTCGAGCGCAGGCTCCTGCCCCTCCCCTCAGCTCCCCGGCCCAGCCCGCCCCCGGAGGCCAGACCCGCACCGTCTGCTCTTCTCGATCTCCCATCAGGCTCCTAGCTTACAGAGCTTCCTGCAGCAGCAGGTTCAGCTGGAGCTCCTGGCCAGACGGGTCACCCTGCTGGAAGCCATCATCTGGCCAGGTAACGGCAGGGCGGGCAGGCAGGGGCAGCCCCTGCCAGGAAGGGCCTGGGAAGGGCCTGGGAACCCAGGCGGCATCTCCCCACACTGGGTCCAGACTAGCAGCCACCACCCCCGCTTCAGCCCTTCCGTCCGGCCAGCAGACGGTGTCTGGCACAGAGAAGGTCCTGGTAACTAGATCCTGAGTGATTGAGCACCTGCTCTGTGCCAGGCACCTCGCCGGACAGGTTCCAACAGATGAGACAGACACAGTCCTGCTCTCGTGGAGTTTAGGGTGCTGCTGCGGGGGTGTGGGGAGGGAAGCCCTGGAACTGGGTGTTAAATCCAGGGTGAGGAATACCACAGCGGAGTGAGTACTGGCAACCAGGAAAGCACAGAAGTGCTCCTGATGCAGGCTGGGGCGTGGCAGAGGGCATCTTGGGAGGGCTTCCTGGAGGAGGCATCTAAGTGGAGACTTGAATGGCAAGGATCGGGGGCAAGTAAATAGGCAAGAGGAGTAGCGTGGCCAAAAGCCAAGAGACCAGGGAGAACCCAGAGGGATTGTTCTGTGAGTTTGCTGAGGGGCGAGAGCTGAGGCTAGAAGATCTGGCAGGGGCCCGTTTGAGAAGGTCCTTGAATGCAGGCTTGAAAAGAGGTTAGCCCCACCTGTGGGGCTGAGGAGGTCTCCCCAAGTTAACCTGGAGTTTGTGGCAGCCCTGCAGAGAGGCAGGGATTGACTGCCCTTGGGGCTAATCCTCCCCTACCTGCGAAGAGGCCCCAACAGCCACTCCTCTCCCAGTCGCCCCATCTCTCAACGCTTCAGTGCACACAGCCTTAGACATCACATGTAACCTCATGTCTGTTCTGCAGATGGGGAAACTGAGGCCCCCAGCAGGAAGGAAAGCTGAGGTCAGAGCCATCTCCTTCATTTGGCAAAAATGTAGGGCACACCTGCTGCGTGCTTGGTCTGGGCGGGTGCAGAGGCCGATCTCAGGGTACCTGCCTTGGAGGCAGGGGGTCTTCAGCATCTGTAGAGGTGAGGGCCACAGGGAACAGGCGCACCAAAGGATGAGTGTGAAGGGAAGCCTTCCTGCAAGATGGGGCCCTTGCATTAGTCATGGAAGGTTCTGAGTGTGCTGGGAGGAGGGAGGAAGGCAGCCCCCACAGAGCCCCGCCCACCAGGGGTGGGAAGGTGTGCGGGGTCTGCTTACAGAGCTGCTCCCGCCACGCCACATGGCTTCCCCAACTTCTAGAAACTTCTCCAACCATCTCCCAGACCTTCTCCTCTCCCAGGACCAAGGACCAAATCCCAGGCTCTCAGCTCTGTCAGGTGACCCCCCACGCCCCCTCTCAGGAGAAGGACTGGGACAGGAGCCAGAAGGGACACACTGTGGCCTTGCCTCTGTGCCCCGCCCCTCCTTCAGCAGCCCCGGAAGTGCGTGCCAGGCCCCTGGCAGGGCCCGTGTCCACTCAGTGTGGCCTGGAAGGGGGGTGCAGGAGGAGGGGAGCAGAGGAGATGGAACCCTCCCCGCTGTTGCATCATGCACAGCAGGTGCTGACAGAAGACCCAGATGGGCTCGTGTTTAGACTGTGACTGGTAACGATAGTAGTGACAGCTGTCACACACCCGGGTCACCTGGGCCGGGGAACTTATATCCATCATCTCCGGCCCTTGTAACATGCGTTCCAGGTGGGCAGTACCATGCCCACCTCACAGAGGGAGAAACATGGGTTCAGAAGACTCGTGTGACTCCCACAGTGACACAGGGAGAGCTGTGAGCCCCTGGGGCCCCTAGGTCTGGCCTAAAGCTCCAGCTCTTTGGGCTCCATCAGCAGAGGTTCTCCAACCCTTCTGCTCTTCTAGGCACTGAGGGGGGCCCAGGGGAAACCAAGGCCCTGAATTTGGTCATGTCAGAAACAGCATCTCATGACCAACTCACAGTGACCAGACCTGCAGGGGTTGAAGACACACCAACCTTGTGACTATTATAATCCAATATTTACTGTGAAAACCACTTTCCACTCCTGGTCACCTTAAACGCTTTACAGGAGTGTCACCCCAAAATTCCAGAAGGGGCTTAGAGGTTCTGGGACTTGCTCAAGGCCGCATGACTGGAATATGGTGGGGCCAGGACTTGGCCCGAGCTGATGTTGGGACCTGAGCGCTGGGCTACCCTACTCCTGTGCCTCCTGGTTTGGGGGCATGAAATGTCCCTTGACTGTGACTGCAGATACCTGTCTGCCCCAAATCTCAGTCCAGAGGTTCATGGGCCACAGGGTCAGGACACTAGACACTTATGATTATGAGGCTCTAGCCGCTTTCCCTTCAGTGGGAAGCTGATGCTCAACCAGAGTCCAAGTGTTGGTCCTATGAACAGGATTTTGGAGGCTCAGCCAAGCCCTCCATCCTGGGGCTCTCCCTCTGGAAAAACAGCCCATCCTTCCAACCTGCCTAACCCATTTGAGAAGGACTGAGGTGATAGTGACAGAAGGCTTCCTGGAGGAGGTAGGTCCTGATCTGTGTTCTGAAGGATGAGTAGGAGTTTTCCAGGTGGGAAGAACGCCAATTATTCAGTTTTACTCTTGGGGGCCAGCTAATTTGCAGGTTGGGGCATATGTCACCATAGCCAAATCGGAACTGACTTCAATAATCACTGGAGTTGCCCAGGGCCTCTGTATCTGGACCATCCCCCGAGTCTTAGAGATGAGACAACTGAGACCCTGACCGAGGTCCAAAGCTACACAGTAGATCAGTGGCAGATCCTGGCCTTCCTAAACCCTTCCCCACTACAGGTGGTGTAACCCAAGGAGAGAGAGTGATGCCTGGCCTTAGTTTACCCAGATATGAAATGGGAATGACTCAGGGCACACCTCCACATCCAAAATATGTTAATGAAAGAGTACTTTTTCATGGCGCATCCACTACGTACGAAGTATTTCAGAAACATGGTGGGTTTATCCCCACCTGTCACAGAAAAACAAGTAGAGGCCCTGAGTGCTTTAGTTGGGTTTGGGGCTAGTAACTCCCAGGGGGACGGGCACTAACCAGCTTTGCAGACCCCCTTCTTTTCCACAGCTCTGCTTCCAGATGACAGAGCCCCACCCCCAGAGGGCCAAGGGGAGGTGGGTGCCTCACATAGACCTCACTAACCTGGCCTCTCTCCGTCCCTCCCTCTCTTCTTCCCTCCGGCAGAACCAGAGGGGTCAGGGGCAAGCCTCGCCGGCACAGGCACCCCCAGCCTCCTGAGGGGCAAGAGGGGAGGACGCGCGGCCAGCTACCGGATCGTGGCCCCCAGGAGCCGAGATGAGAGAGACTGAGGGTGGTGGCCTCCCTTGGGGAGGGCCAGCCAGGCTTCCCTCCCCAGCCTGGCCTGGGCCGGCTGCCTCTGGGGTCTGCCCGCCTGTATTTATTGACATCCTCAGGGTTCCTTCCGCCACCCAGGCCTTTGGGTGGGGGTCTTGGTCCTGGCCCCCCATGTGCCTCTGCCTCCCATGAGGCTGAGCAGGGACCGGGGCCTGAGAGGGAGGCATGACCCAGGTGAGAGGTGAGGCCTTGCTCAGGGCCCTGGGCCTCAGTTTCCCTCTGTGAAATGGGGTTATGGAGGTCTGCGGGTTTGGAGCTTCTGTCGCCTCATCAACTGCCCAGCCCTCCACACGCCCAGGGATGACGAGGGCGGGCAGTCTCGCCTCCCGGCTCCCCAGCCAAACCTGGGGGCCCACCTGTACCCCTCCTCATTTTCTGGTGCTGGCTTCCTGACCCTGAGGTCAAGCTACCTGATCTGACTGGATGTCCAGGGCTCCTTGTGTCAGTTCTGACCCCTGAACCCTCGGGCCCTTCCATTGTGACAGCCCCAGCAGTAGATGTGTATCAGCCAATAAAGGCCCCCGCCTGACTGCCCACTGGGCTGGCCTGTGTGCGCTTAGATGGGGCGGCCGGGCAGGCCAGCAGCTCTCCTCTGTGGCCACTGCTGTCCCCGAGGGCTGTGGAGCTGGGCTCCCTGGCCATCACCTGGCAGCTGGGGGACAGGGTCGGGGGGCAGAGCAGAGGCTCAGGTCATCCCCAGCCCCGGCCAGGCGTCCAGCAAGCACTGCCCTCCTGCAGTCAGCCGTTTGTCCACTGCTCGCTCATTCACTCAGCCCCCTGATGCCAGCATAAGAGTCAGACAAGCACTGCCCCACAAGATCCAGGCTGAAAAGTGAACTGGGTTTTATTCTGAACAGTACCGGGGCAGGGTGCTGGGGGGCCACCCCAGACCCCCTCCTGACTCTCAGCAGACAGGGCTAGGGCTCTTCTCACCCGAGGGCCTGCCTGTGCTACGGGGGCCCAGGACCCTCAGGGTGGGCGGGCCCTCTCCTCCCCTGAGTCACCAGCGCCTCGGTGCCCACCTCCCCGCCGACCAGCAGTGCAACAGCCCCCTCCACTCGGCCTGTGGCCGCCAGGGCCACCACCGCCTGTTCCGTGGGGAAGCCCATGCGCTCCAGCTGCTGCAGCCTGTGGCAGGGAAGGGGCAGGGAGGGAGGGTCAGGGCCACCTCCAGCCCCCAACAGGGCAACCCCCCACCCACCCACCCCACCTTACCGCAGAGAGGAGACGGAGGACTTAGGCAGCCAGAGTGGGCTGTCAGGGCCCTGGGCTGGGCCCTCAAGCAGCGAGGCCTCGATCCCCTCCTGTAGCATCTGCTGGTCCAGGGCTGCCCACAGTGGGGTCCCTGGGGGGAAGCCGGGCCCAGACCAGGCCAGTCCAGCCTCTGAGGAGCCCTCCCAGAGCGGCTGCACAGGCCTCAGGCCCGGCGGGATCGGGGCTGAGCCTTCACTGAGGGGCCAGAGGCTAGGGGAGGCCATGTGGGAAGGTCCAGGGGTGGGGGGCCTGGAGGGGCAGAAGCAGAAGAAGGCTGACTGCCAGCCACTGGCACGGCTGCCACCACCGGGGCCAGTGTCCTTGGCATCACCCTCACCTCGCTCCGGCGGGATGGGCGACAGGCAGCTCAGCTGGGCCACCTGGGGCGGGGAGGAGCCGGAGAGGCCAGCACCCCGCCAGGGCCCTGCATAGGACACCCTCCTGCAGCGCCTGCAGCCGCCACTCCGAGAGCTCCAGCCACCAGAAGGCCCCGGCCGCGTCTGTCTGCCCGGGGCAGGGCGGCCGGTCAAGGAAAACCACATACAGCTGGGGGGAGCCCATGCCACATGCCAGGTCCCGTGCCAAGTGTGTGATGGGCATTCCCTCCTGTCTCCTCACTGTGGCCCTGCCAGAGCGGTGTCATCACCCTCATCAGCGTGGAGGCTCAGAGAGGAAAAGGGGCCCGCCCATAGCTACCCAGCCAGCAAAGAGGTAGTGGTGTGCCTCATCCCTAAACCCGTCTCACCCCGATTCGGCCGCCCCCCCCCCCCCCCNCCCGCCATCCCCCAAGCCCTGTGGGCTCGCTCAGGCCTGTGACACCAGGCCCACCCCTGGGCACTGTCACAGCGAGGGCAACATGCTCCCCTCTCCAGGATCCAGCCGGGCGTCCCCAGTCCTAAGCAACCCCCGGGGCCAGCCTGCGCCCACTGTTCCCTCTGACTGCAGTGTCACCCCGCAAGGCATTAAGCCTGTGTTCAACACACCCGCAGCAGGCCGTCCCCCTTCTGGGGCCAGGAGAGCCCCAGGCTCACTTTCACCCTGGTCCTTCGCCCTCTGCGCTGTGGGCCCATGCTCTCCTCTTCCACCTCTCCTCATCAGGACCCCTCATCCTGCACGGGCTTGGTGTAGCTGCCACCTTCACTGGGACGTCCAGACTAGGCGCCTCCCAGGGCCGCTCGGTGCCAGGCTCTCCTTTAAACTGTAATTGGCACCTCTACATGGCCACGAGCCCCCAGTCCCCAGCCCAGAGCCGGAGAGAGGAGACTCGGAGATGCCCCTGGGATGCGTGTGAATGATGGGGGCCTGATTCCTCGTGCCAGTTCCTCCCTGGCACCCTGGGGGCCCAGCCACGGAACCCGCATGTCCACAGCAGCCCTGAGCCCTGGCAAAGGATACAGGCCAGGCCGGCGAGGAGGCCGCAGAAGAGCTGCAGGAAGGGTGGCTCGGAGCTGAGCAGTGGTGTCAGGGCAAGCAGCAGCCACGGCAGGAGCCACGGTGGCAGGGCCCCCCGGGGCCGTCGAGGGCGAGAACCCTGTCCTGCTAGCATGGCCAGGTGGACAGGCATGTACCCGCAGCCCCCGGCTGCACCGGACAGCCCGAGGCCTGCCAGCAGCACAGCCAGCAGCCCGGAGGCCAGCGCGAGCAGGCTGGAGGCATGCAGGAACCGCAGTGTGCCCAGGTGGCGCTCCTGCTGCCAGCCCAGCGTGGGCAGGAGCAGCAGGCTGAGCAGCAGGCCGGGGAGGGCCGTGTGGCCCAGGGCATGTGTGAGCAGCCGGTGCGCTGGGGGAGAGAAGCGACTTATGTGCCAGGTTAGGGGCTGTGGCCCCTGAGTCTGGCCCAGGTGTGCCGGGGCCGTCCACCAAGCCAGCCTCCCCCCCAAGGGAGTCAGAGCCTGCTCACAGCCAGCACTTTCACCCCTGGTGGAGGGGACCAAGGGCTTCCAAACACTATGGCTACCCGCCCCCCTGATGCTTTAAGTAGAACAAGCCAGACCCAACAATAAGTCTTCTTAAGAGCAACCAACCATAGGTAAGTCACTTCACTTCTGTGAGCATCATTTGAGTTCCTCAAATTCTTGGGAAACAGGTGCTCAGCTCCTGCCAGTCCTCAAACCCCTAGCTCCTCTTTTGCATTTTCGGGCTTAGCTGAAAGCCTTAGTTTAAGGGAAAGCCACCAGACAGGGCAGCCATCTGAAAAGAATTCCTCCTCACAGGCTCCCAATCCTGTGCTGGCCCCTCTGCCCTCCCTCCTCGGCTGTGGTTGAGCTGGGCATGCTCCCGGCCAAGGCGGACCTTCCCTGGAGCACTGGGTCCAGCCCCTGCCTGACTGCTGCAGGATGCACTTGCTCCTGCCAACTGGTCACAGGCCCTACAGCAAATCCCCTGCCTCCAAGGGCCATGTGGCCGGCCCTCACCCTGCCTAGGGTCCAGCAGCAGCTCTGGGGCCAGGACGAGGCTGGGGCCAGCCCCCAACAGCCACAGGGTGCTCATTAGCAGCATCAGGACAGAGGAAGCGAGAGGCAGCGCTGGGGTCGGGAGGCCAGGGGGACCTCTGGCATGCATAACTTGGCTGAAGGTGCTCAAAGGTGGCCGTGGGACTGTGTGCTGGGGGAAAGGAAAACAATAACAATAGTTATTATTGCAGCTTTTACCTGACCTCCTTTCAGCTACCATAGCAATAGCACCATTTTACAGAGGTAGAAAGTGAGGCTGGAGAGGTCAGTGCAGCAACCTGGCTGCACAAGAGTTCAGAGCCTAGCCATGTGCTTAGCCATTTCGCTGTCCTACCTGCCTATGTGTGAGAATGTGAAGAGGTCAGGCCCTGATGGGCCCTGAAAAGGAGCCTGGAGTGGGAAGCACGGGGAATGGGAAGTTGAACTGGGACACTGGACTCCCCAATTTTGGGAGGATTTGTACAGCCCCAACGGGGCAAATTGAAGGCCATCTTCTGCCTCCCTGTTCCCTCTGGCTACAGACTAGCCACCTTCCTCCCGCTCCCCTCCACTGACTTAAGAGCTCCAGGTTACCTCAGCTGCCCTTGACCGAGGGGGCAAGGCCAGCCAAAGGGCGGGCAGATTAGGGAGCTGGTGGAGCCGCAGGGCTGGAGGAGGGGCAGCTGGAGTCCACAGAGTGACACCAGACAGAGACACCCCTCCTCCAGCCCTGATCACAGCCCCTCTGGCCCAACCCTCACTTTCACAGGAAGCTTCCAGGATCCACTTCACTTTTTCCTGTTGTCTACTCCTCCCTCAGCAAGTCTAGAGCCTCTCCTTCCTCATCTGTAAACTGGGGATTAAGAAAATTCATTCCTTGTAGGATATGAAAAAGGAATGGACTAGGCAGGCCCACAACTCCTGCTGGATAAATGGTAGCCACCTGGGCGGTCCCCACCAAGGGGGCGGCCTCAACACGGAAGCAGCCGCTCCAGCCCAGCTGCCCTCAATTGTGTCAATCCCCTGCCCACGAGGCAAGGCTTTCTCTCCTGTGTTCTCCCTCCTCACATCCGGCCTGTCTTCTAAGCCCTGCTGGAATCCCCTCACTCTGGTACCCTAGCATGTCACAGGAGAGGACGGGAAATGCCAGAGATAAGAGGACAGCCTCATCTGCTCCCTTTTCAGGGGTATCCTTGGCATCAAAACCCACCTGCCACTCTCTTGCAGAAAAAATATAGAAAACTCCTCTGCCTGCAATGTCTTTCGCTCCATCTCGCCAACAGCAAACTCCTACTTATCCTTTGAAGCCCAGCTCAAAGCGCCCCTCGCCCCCACCATCATGGAGCCTACCCTACCTAATGAGTACCGCTTGGGCAGTTTTCTAGGCAGGTGATCTGAACTGGGGGAGGAGGGATGCTCCTCTCACTCACGGCCAAGTTTCCCAGGGTGGTCCTAGCACAGAGCTCCTGCTTTGTATGTGTTCGTTGAAAAGAAAGACAGTAGCTTTGTCCCAGGTCCCTCTCAAGGATTTGAATGAGCCCTGCCCTTTGCAAGACCTGGGCATCCACTTAGGGAGATCGGGTTGATTCCAAGAAGTCAGGCTGGTGTCAGCCTTGCGGCACTGCTATCCTCCTGCACCCTCCCCCACCTCCCCCCGGGGTACTTTAACAAGAGTAAGAGACTTGCCCTTGGACAGACTGAACTGGGATCTGAACGCTGCAGATCTCAGTCTCTTTATCTATAAAATGGAGCTGTGTACCCTCGGACCCCGCCTACCTCTCCGGGAAACCGGAAGGACAGAATGGAAAGATAGGGACGGGGATGATTCTTCCGGGTCATGGACAGTTGGGGGTGGGGGGGAGTCCCGGGTGTGGGTGAGACTCAGCTTTGTGACTTTAGGAGATGTAACCAAATTCCTTGGGCCTCAGTTTCCCCTTCTGTAAAAACAAAGAGTGTTGGATGAGGGGTGATTAAGAGTCTTCGCAATCTCGATCGTTACTTGGGGGTGGGGGTGGGGGTCTCGGGCCGGGCGCTACGTTCAGGGCCTCCCATCCAGCCCACCGGTCTCGGCTCCCTCCCCCGCGGGCCGGGCCACGTGTCCGGGGTACTCACTGCGGAGCGCGCCCCCCGCCCCCCGAAGGCCGAGTGGGGCCCTCGGCTGGCAGGCGGTACTCTAGCTTCCCGCCGAGGCCCGAGCCCATTCTGCTCGCCCTCCGGCGCGTGACCCCGGCCGACCGGTCGGCACGCCACCCCCTCCTCTGCCGCCCGCCGATTAGTCAGCAGTTGTTCAAGGCCCGGGTCCCTTCCCCCTAGTGTTCCCGCCGGCCTCCGTTTCCCTCCAATGTAGTCTCTTCAGAGACGGTCCCTAGAACCTGCGGGCGTAACCATTCCCCGAACGACCCGGCGTCGACCAAAGAATCGCTCCGACTCGTCACCGAGATCCGCTCACCCACCGCGCCCGCCACTGCGGTGTTATTTTGGTCTGCTCATCACATCCGGGGCTCTTTACAGAGCATTAGGACTAGAGAGGCGGGCGCGAAGGACGAGAAGCGGTGGGTCATTCCGCCTTTCCCCACCCCCGTGGCGGGGGCCCGATGGTAGCGCCCGAGGTTGCGGGTCTCGCGCCTGCGCAGTGCGGCGTCTAGAGGAACTGCGAGAGGGAGACGGACGTTGAGAGAACGAGAAGGAAGGAGAGAAAATGGCGTCCACGGGTGAGTGTGGTGGGACTGTGGTCGCGCCGGCGACGGCAGGGACGCCCAGATTGGGGGTCGCTCGTCTTTGAGGATGGCAGGGACGACTGAGTGGGCTTTCCCGGGAAGGGTGTGAGGTACCCGCCGCGGTCTGAGAAGCTCGATGGCCGGCGTCCCCCTCCGCTCTTTCCCCTCCCCCCACCGGGCAGGCCGGCTCTGGAACCATCCGGCGCCCCCGGCACGCGGGGGGCTGGAGGCGGCGGGGGCGCGCGGGGGCCTGCCTTGGCCTCCATTGTGTGGCGGCGGTCGGGCCCCGAGATCCAGGCCGCTCGCCACGTGGGCGGGGCCTGAGGCCTCGGGGCCCCGCGTGCAGTGGGGGGGAGGGTTCGGCCAGGCCTCGGGCCCGGCACCCCGAAACTGGAGGCGGGAGCGGGCGGCGGCTCGAGAAGCGGCAGGCCCGCTGTCTCTTTGGCTCTCCCCACCACAACTCAATTTCCAGGGCGGCAGCCTAGGCCCGAGGCCGACTCTGCCTCATCGAGAAGCCCGGGGGGTAAAAAAAAAAAGCAAACAAAAAAAGGCTTCGCGGACTTGTGAGCCGAGGGGCGCCGACCTGTGAGCCGGAGCCCCGTCATCCTTAAAGCCGGGTCGGCTTGCAAGTCCAGGGCCGCCGAATTGCCCCCTTCCGCGGGTTCCAGCCCCCAAGCCGAACTTCTACCCAACTGGGCTTTAAACGGAGCGCCCCCGCCCCACGCGCCGCTTTGCAACTACCCAGTCGCTGCTGCTTAAAGTTTTTTTTTTTTTTTTAAACCATTATTAGTCCTTCTTTCGCCACAAAAAGCAATTAAGCGGCTTCCCAGGGCCATTTTTCATCAAACGCGGAGGGAGGCCTGTTGTATAATGAGGCCAACCCGGTTCGCGAGGCCAGGAATCCCCCACCGAAAGACATTTCTTGGCCTTTTTGATTTAGGAGAAACAAAAGGCCACGGTCGGCGTTTGAATTATGCTTAAGTAATCGTCTCGCACGTTTATTCGCTTAGGTTAAGCCGAGAGAGGCTTGTTTATTTCGTGGTCTGACAGAAGAGAGCGGAAGGAGGCGCGGACTGGACTTTGAAAGAAAGCCCGGGGTGGGATCTGGAACATGGTGTGTGGGGTGGTCCTTTACTGCCCCGGGGTGTGTAAGAGAGTAGCCTAAACGAGACCTGCAGTTTGCAATCCGTGCACTAACTGCGGTTGTGGGTCGGGTGGGGCGATTTTTGCCTCTGGGGCAAAATCTTAGGCAGCCTGACTCCAGGCCTTGGAGGCGGTTAGAGTAGAGGGAAGATGGAAAAAGCTTTGGGTCCTTCCGAGTTTTAATTCGAAAAGGGTCCAGAATCCAGCAAAGGCAGGGCAGTCTTAAGAACTCTCCCCAGCTTTGTGGTCTGTAAACAAGCAGGTAGTGGATGCTGGCTGTTAGTGCCAGGGTACAGAGTGCCCCTGGAAGAAAGGACTCGGAAACAAGCACAGTCCAAGACACCTCCTGGTGGGGAATGGTTTCCTCAGAGCCCTGTCCTCCTCCCTCTTCCCTGCAGTGTTAGGATTCTGTAAGGGGGAGTGCTGCTCTCCCTTCCCCTGGAAAGTTCGGGGAGTACATATGTGTGTGTATTTAAGTGTGTGTGTGTGGACATGCCAATTTTTCGTTCTCCTTTGCTCAAGCTCTGTTTACTGGTAACCACCGCATACTGTATTAGAATTACAATTGTTTTTTATGTAGACACGGCAGTAGGTCTGACCGGGGGACCTTTGAGGGAATCCTTAACTTACCTGGACTTCAGTGTCCTGTCCTTCAAGATGATGGGGTTAGGGTAGACCTTTGAAGAGCTTTTTGAGTCCTTAGTTTCTGATGTTACAGCAAAGCATTTTTGCTTTCACGGAGTTGTCCCAAAGTGACTTTAACTTATGATGTAGTCTGAAGCTCTAACTCTCCACAGTTTGAATCGTGACTGCCTGAAGTATCTAAAAGCCACCACATTGGGCAATAGTCTCAGTTTTTCTTCCTCCTTATTTGGCATATTTAGAAAAGTAATTAAAGTATATGTCCACTTCAGCAAAGAAACTTCCAAGTAACCACCATTCAGACCAAGAAATAGAATATTGCTAGCACTCTGGGTTGGGAATATCCCCAGGAGGAGGACGTGGCAACCCGCTGCAGTAATCTTGCCTGGAGAATCCCATGGACAGAGGAGCCTGGTGGGCTGCAGTCCAAAGGGGCGCAGAGAGTCTGACACGACTGAAGCGACCTGACATAGCACTCTGGAGCCCTCCCCACCACCCCCATAGCCCCCGTTCTCCTCAGCTTGTCCTCTGTTTTAGTGTAGTCTTCAGCTACACGTTTGGGAGTTATTAAAAAAAAAAAAAGACAACTACTAAATAATCTGACCAGTGTGTAACTGTAGATTTTTGAGGCCATATAAATGTTTGTATGCTGTAGGAAGATAACATAAGTTCTCAGGAAACACATTTACTACCTCCCTCAGCCCAGCAGTGTGGGGCTAAATCAGCTGGTTTCCCATTGATCTGAGATCATTCCTTGTTCCATGTCAGCTTTGCCAGTTTTATGTTTTGCATAACTTGTGTAAAAGTTCTCCTGCAAACATTGAACTTACATGTCAGTGATATAGAGCCATTCCTCACACAGAAACCTCAGCAGAAATGTAGGTTGAAATATTTGATTTTTGGTGTTTTATTGATGTGTTTTTTTTTTTAACTAAAACGTGAAAGTGATTTGCATTTCTTTTTATATGTCGCATACAAATTGTCTTGAACAAATGGATTTGCTCATTATACATAGCCTTTGGTGGTTGATTTGATAATGTGGACGATTCAGGGTTTTGAGTTAAGGGTGTAGAGGAAGGAAAGTGGACAAGTTATGTGTAGAGGTGAAAAATGAGCCAAGTTAAAGAGATGGGTTCAGCAGATTGCTCTGGGGGCAGGCCAGGTGAACTGTGAAGCAGGCTTCTGTTGGAGTGAGGTTAGAAACCCCCTCTGTGAAGAGCTGTTAGCTCTTGCTTTCAGATAAGGCACTACTTGCTGATTGGAAAGAAAGGACCCTTTGGTCTGCCTTAATGGCCGTATTGTCTTCTGACATATTAATGGAAAAAGATAGTAGTTTTTTAGGGAGAGCAGAGAATTGGGCAGGGTTTTCTAAAAGTATATATGAATGTTTACTTCAGTTGTGCCATGAAAGCTTCTTAACAATTTTATTTTCTATTTTCACTATTTTTAGACACCTCAGTGGACCAGAGGGGTTTGTTTTTTCCTTTTAAGTCCCTTTTTGTGCATTTGTAAATTTCTTTTCTTTTTTTTTTTTTCCAGAAAAAGAGTATTTTATTTATTTGGCTGTGCTGGGTCTTAGTTGCGGCACATTGAATCTTCAGAGTGGAATGCAAACTTCTCTCTGGTTGTGGTGCACAGGCTTAGCCACCCTGTGCATGTGGGATCTTAGTTCCCAGACCAGGGATCGAACCCATGTCCTGTGCTCCAGAAGGCAGATTCCTGACCATTGGACCACCAGGGAAGTCCTTGCAAATTTCTTAGGAGAGGAAAAATTGTAGGAAGGTTTACTTAGGACAGGGGAAGAAAAATAGTGTGTGTTTTTTAAGGTGAAATCACTTGAGTTTTAAAAGATGGTTTTACCTAGAACCAAACTATAAAGGCAAAACAGTAAATGCTTTCTCCTCTGCTAATTACGAGTCTGCCTTAACTACTTCAGTGGGATTTGTAACCGGTAGTTTTTAAATTATAGATGTGACCCCTCATTAGGGTCAGCAAGCCCTCTAGAACCCTGGTTTGCAGGATACCTTGTCTCATTCTCTGCCACTTCTGTTCAGCCTTTATGGGTGGTCTAACTTGTGTGAGTGAGGGAGTGTTTTGTTTGGTTTTTGTTTTTGAAGTAGGTTTTGAGGAGATGTAGCTACTGATGTAACCATTCCAGTATTAAACATTGTTATATTGTTGCATGCCTCCTGAGGGTAAAATTTTGGATCCTGTTGCATTTATCTTGTCTCCTGTTACTTTTAGGATGAGGACCATGTATTTGAAATGACAGCCAGTGGTTAAGGGAGGCTTTGTAGTCATGGGAACATGCAAAGTATCTTTGCCAAATCAGCTGATCTTGACCTCATTAGCTAGCACTGTTCAAATTTTCTGAATTTAACTGGCTTAGACTTATTTTTCGGTTTGGTGTTGAGAGATAAGAGATACTCATTTGGGGAGGGGAAAAAAAGAGAGACTCGTTTGGACCTGTGTTGTCCTGTAGGTCCTCTCAGTACGGTGTTTAAAAATTCATCTTCCTGCTGCCTGAATTCCTTCCCTCCTTTTTCTTTTCTCCTTGTAAATTCTGGCTTCACACTATTTTGTCTTCTTGTTTTCTCTAGATTATAGTACATACAGCCAAGCTGCAGCCCAGCAGGGGTAAGTCAGATTTTTACAAGTGTCCTTTGGGTTGCTTTTTTAGAGTACAGAGCCTCCTCTAACTGTAGAGAATTTAGTAATGGAATTTGGATGTTCTGTATTCAGTTCTTGCATTTAATTTCTTTTACAGCTACAGTGCTTACACTGCCCAGCCCACTCAAGGATATGCACAGACTACCCAGGTAATTTTTAAGATAATTACATGTTGCTGCGTCCCCAAGTAAACTATTGCCATCAGCCATTAAAAAATAGCTAGCATGAGTCTTTTTCAAAAATTAGGTAATGGAAAAGTATAATGTGTTTGAAATCATAAAACGCACAGATATTTAAACTTTCACAGTGGGAGGGCCATTGTAATGAAACTGTCCTCAGACTGGGAGTTGCTAGTTCTCCTTTCCTTTCTAGTGTTATTTCTCAAGTTAGATGTTTTGCTCCATGCTTGTTTCTTCTACATATTTTGTGTTTAAGTTTATTTAACTTAATCATACAGCAGTTTTGCAGAGGAACGTGATAATATGGCATTTTGCAGATGAAAAATTGCAGTGCATAGATATTACACCATT